TATGGTGCATTGTCAAAACCTGCATGAGTAATTCCACCATGCCACCTGTTCATCATGCCACCTGTTGAGGGCTTTAGTGCCTGATAATCTCACAACTTCCTTCCAACATGGAAGGTCTATTGGTGTTATATTTTGAAGAGCTGCATAGCAGCATATAGCCACTAGGTGGTGGTGTGCCACAATCCAATGTTGTAGAATTATTTGTACACAGTGAAGATACATTGCTGTAATTGGTTTAATAAAGAGCTGAACGGCCAATAGATAGGCAGGGGATGTAGGCAGGACTTCTGGGAAGAGAGATAGGAAATTGGGAGATGAGTCTTGGTGTGCAAGGAGACATGGAGGAAGCAGGATGGGTGGTATGTGACAGAACATAGATTAATAGAAATGGGTTAGCTTAAGTTATAAAAACTGGTTAAAAACAAGCCTAAGCTTAAGACTGAACTAGACACCCTTAATATAGGTGACAATGGTGTGACTGGGACAATAAATGAGGCCACTGGCAATGGGTCCAAGATCTAACACTAATGCACAAACTGACTTAGTGGAGAAATTCCTTGCCCAGCCTAGACACAGGGGTGTGGTGGGTGGAGAGGTGCTTTGGTCCTGTCTCAGCAAGATGATGGGACAGACTTAGTAAACTTCCTAGGGGAGGCCTTGCCCTCTCCATGGAGCAGATGGGAGGAGGAGGGAATGGGGGAAGCAGGCAGAGAGGAGGGAAGGGGGAACTAGGACTGGAATGGAAAAATAAGTCCCCTTATCTTTATTTATGAGCTGGTGAAAAATCCAACTACAATTGAAGCATCTCCAACCATAGACAGATAGATAATGGCAGCTCCATATAGCCCACCATGACTAAAATGGAACTTCTGTATGCTAACATACCTTTTGGTACTAGTACAATTGAACCATGATGTAGTTAATGTTTTTTTTTTTTGTTTTGTTTTGTTTTGTTTTGTTTTTGTTTTTGTTTTTGTTTTTTTGTTTGTTTGTTTTTTTTTTGCCAAGTCTTGAATGAGTACTGGTTCTGTGACTCAAAGTGTAGACACAGGCTGCTCAGTCTCAGGAACTCACACCTCAGGGGAACCTTCTCAAGGACGTCTCCAAGCAGACAAAATCCTATTTCCCACTCAGAAGCATGCTACTTCCACAATAAGAAAGGAGGAAGCTACTAAGCTTTCTACTGTTTCCTTCTCACTTCTAATTAGAAATCCCCCAAGGAGCTGGGTGGTGGTAGCACATGCCTTTAATCCCAGCACTCAGGAGGCAGAGGCAGGTGGATCTCAGTGAGTTGGAGGCAAGCTGGTCTACAAAGCTGCACAGGCACAGGAAAACTCTGTCTCAAAGAACCAAAAGAAAAAAAGGAAGGAAGGAAGAAAGAAAGAGAAAGAAAGAAAAAGAAAGAAAGGAAAAGAAAAGAAATCCCCCAAGGAATACTGAAGAGGTTTTTTAAAAACAACGGCTAAGGAGATAGCTTGGTGAAGCATTTGACATGTAAACACAAGGACCATGTTAAAAGCCAGGTGTGATTGCATGCATGCACTTGAAATCCCCATGGAGACGGGGAGTGGGGGGGAGTAGAGACAGGCAGATACTCAGGGCTGATGATCAGCTAATCTGAACTAATCATGAGTTCTAGGTTTCAGTGAGAGAACCGATCTCAAAAAAAAAAAAAAAAAAAAACCTAAGGTACACAGCACCCCATGAGCAAAATATACACAGGTAACACACATGGAAGAAGGGGAAGGCCTCCCTCTTTCTGCAACTGTAAAGTTTAGTTTGACTGAGTCAGGGCAGCCTCCTCAGCCTCTCCCTAGAAGGCTGCACTGGACCCCTCCCCAAGGGAAGAGGATATATGATCTTGAGGATGGGCTCTGTTGTCTCCATCCAAGAGAATGGCCTCTTCCTCAGCTCTGCCCTCTCCCAGCTGCTGAGCAGGCATGTATTTGATGGACTCAACCAAGAGTAAACGGGAGGTGTGTCTGCCAGCTGACTTGCCTAAACCTTTCCCAGCTACCACATCTGAGCAGACAACTTAGCAGTCAGTCCTGAGCTCCAGGATTGGTACAACTCCTCCAGCCCCAGATGCAAGGACAGTTTACAATTCATGGTCCAATTTCCTCAGATGTCCTTAATGAGGGTGACTCTGAGTCCTTGCCTTGAGTTTTATTGCCATTCACTCTATGAATAAGCCCAAATAATCATAATGTGGGTGAGGTAAGGAAGATGAACCAAAGGAGACATGCTACTTCTGGAAAGAAAAGGGAAGGGGGTGACGGTGGTTTTCTCATGTGACTCCTACACCACCTGGGCTGCAGGTGTAGACCATAATTTGATGGAGATACCTGGGCAGTAGCAGCCTGGGCCGACTGAGTCAGTCTATGGGTCCTGCTATTTTATCATACCTTGACTTTGGACACTCAGTTAATTGTGGGCTTCTGTGAGAATGGCTTTGAGGGAAGGGGTTCTTTTGACAAATTGTGGAAGTGGGTAAACAAAAGGGACAAGAGTGTTCTAGAAAGAAGCCTAGAAAAATTTTTGAGCTGACTTCCAGGTATGCTGGAGGTGGGATTTTAAGCAAGTCACCCCATCTTGAGAAGCTTCAGTACCTTTACCCTTCATACAAATAAACAAAACCCCTTTTTTAAATCCCCATGAAAGAAACTGGGTAGACAGTGGCTGTGTCTCAGGAAAGCGATAAACACTCAGCTCAGACAGAGACTGAAATGAACACCCATGTAGGTGACTTCTTGGTATGTTTTAAAATATTTTTTTTTCTTGGCTTCTTTCCAGTAAATTCTAAGAAAACTTTTGTCTCTTGTCTCGTTCCTTTCTTACCAAGGACCGCACACACACAGACACACACAGAGAACTTTAAATATTTTGACAAGGGACTGCTTTCCAAAAGACACTGGCCTTGCTATAGGGTGGGTTAAAAGGCTGAGCTCACATGTATCTGACTTATATGACCTGGCCCACACAGACCCCAGTCATCACTGAAGCAGCACGTGAGGCCAATGGCAGTGGATGCTGAATGCCTTGCATGCCTGCCACTTACAGAGAAACAAGCAGAAAGCAAAGACAAAAACAGAATCTCTCATGGGCCTACAAGGCAAAACCAGCAATTCTTTTCATTTGGGGGCATAATTTTCCTTCATTTCTTCTACTTCAAATATGACACTCTCCCTTGTAAACTGGATTACCCTGGGCCTGGTTCTTTAGCCCATTTTTATCACCTTTCTATATTAATGCTATTTCTGAAATATGATTTTCAGTGGTCACCCAATTCCATTGTCAGTCACTTTGGGCATCTAGTGCTCTCAAGAGCCTTCTTCTGGATGATCTTTGTACTGTTTTTCTGTTGTTCCTTTAATGCTTAAGAAGAGCGCATTTTGTTTCTGTCCTTAATTCTAATGCAGTGAACACATTGGCCTCTGGAAAAAAAAATCTGTTGCTGAAACATATAGTCACTATTGTGACATTACCCTTGGTTGGAGTCGTCAGTCTTTATTATTAAAGGAAGCTCTGAAGATGACCGCTTTTTCTCTTGTTCCTTTGTGGCGCTGCCTCCCACAAACAGTTCCTTACCTTACTTTTCTTTGGGGTATTTTTTTTTTGACCAGCTTACAGTGCCATTGAAAGAAAAAAAAATTGTGTTGTGTGTATATCTATGTATGTATATAAATATATACATGCATGTATGTATGTGTGCATATACGTATGTTCTCAATGCCTCTGCCATGTATTTGGAAATGAAGAAATATGCTTCTAAGTAGCATGTGTTGCATAAGAAATCTATGGCAGATTAGAACACATTTTTAAATGAGTGATGGTGGAAATACTGCACATGTGGCAAGCTTATGGGTTCCTGCTAATGATCACTCAAGAAAAGCTTGCACAATTCAGTCCCAACACTGAAAACCAGGGAGTTAATAAACACACAAGCAAAAACGCATCCTTAGGGTCGGTCAGTAGCTCCCTCGAGTCTTTGCACACCCTCTCATTTCCAACACAGCACTCGACACATATAGGAAAGCTGATGACCACCATGCCGGACCTGTCAAAGCCTTACAGGCCATGATTCTCAACACTGCTGAATCTCAACCATTGAGGATGGAAAATTCCCAGTGCATCTGATCTTTAAAGTAGCCAATCCAAGTGTCATCTAACTGCACCAACAGATTCAGACTTAGGGAGTGAGAGATGCCTAAATGGTCAGAGACTTGAGTGGCAGAGAGGAAACACCAACACCACAGCATACCACGGCACACGCAGACTGCAGTGAGCTGTGTGTAATGTTTTCCTTCACTTTGGACAGCCTGAAGAAATGTTTGTTTTACCAAAAAGTATTTCAGAGGCTGGGGAGATAGATGACTTCCTGGGTTTAGGGCACTTGCTGCACAAGTGTGAGAACTTAAGTTTGAATCCTCAGCACTCCTACAAAAAGCCAGGCACAGCCATGGACACCTGACACTCCAGCACTGTGGGAGACAGATGGGAGATTACCAGGGCTTGAGACATGACAGTCTATCCCCAGGTACAGTGAGACCCTTGCATGGAATAAGGTAGAGGATGAGATCAGGGCACCTGATGCCCTCCACTGTCCTCCACAGCATACACACTTGTGGGTACACCTCCATCAATGCACCAAAAAAGGGTATTTTAGAGATACAGGTTGAAGACAAATCCTTTGGTATCATTCCAGCAAGCACCCTGCTTTGTTTGATCAGCTGGGTCACGTGTATTTTACACAGTCAACTGGGTGGAAGTTAAAGAAGGTTTTGCATGTGTAAGGCATAGAGGATTAGGCTCTGGGGGTTAATTTTAATCATGGAAAAAGAAGTGACTTTAATTTCATTAATGGTCTCCTGGACAATTCTGCTCCAAGCTTAACCCTCCATCAAATATTAATTTAGTGGTGCTCAGTGCTTAGTCCACGGCCTTTGGTATCACCGCTGGAGCGGACACTAACCTGTTCCATATTTATAACTGAATCACAGGGCTTTTTCAGGAGAAGTCAGCAGAGCAATGCCACCTACTCCTGCCCTCGTCAGAAGAACTGTTTGATCGATCGAACCAGCAGAAACCGCTGTCAGCATTGTCGACTGCAGAAATGCCTTGCCGTGGGAATGTCTCGAGATGGTGAGCTGGGGTGGGGCAAACGTGTAGGGCTGGGCAAGCACTCCTGATATGTGGGGACTGCTCCAAATGTGGGGACTGCTCCATCAGGGGAAGCCCTCTCAGCCTTCCCAGGCCCCTCTGGCATCTTTCTGCAATCCACAGCACTTCCTTTATCCCTGATCTCGTGGAGTCAGCTGACTAGCTCATGGGGGTAGACAGAGAAGTGTCTTGTAGTCAGAAAACCTTCAGGTTGCCAACATTTCAGAAACTATAGGTATGTGTCCTCTGAGGGCTTTCGTAAACACACCTCCCCGCAGGAAACCCAAGCCAGGACAAATTAAGTAGACATGTAACACTGGTAAGTCTACTGGCATATGGCAGGAAATAGTTCTTTCGGTGACTGGGTCATCTGAATCACCTTGCCAAAGTCAAACATTTGCACCTTCCGAACAGGTGAAAGCGATACAAAGTCAGGCTTGGTGGTAAATGTCCTTCTTAAGTGCACCAAAAGACCAACGCCAGGTCTCGAGACAGTTCCACATGGAACCGGGCAGAAAGTGCAGCAGGTGCACTTGAAGGACTTTTCTGAGTACACTAGCTGCCTGTCTCCGAAGGTCTCCTTGGGTGCAGTGTCAGCTGGTGCTTCCCACCGTGAGATGTTCTTAGGACCCTGTGAAGCCACCCAGGCTCAATTTCAAGTTCACTACATATCCTTCAAGTCTCTCTGCACTACTAGAGAGGTCAAGCCTCTGCCATTAGGAGACAGGAATCTCAGAACCACACTAAGTTTGTCTTCCTACAGCATTAAAGTGGCAGTTGGGAATGACTCTTATCAACCTGTAAGTTAAAACTGAGTCCTGGTCCTTTTATACCCCCTCACTGGATACAGCTGCCATTTTATTAAGAAAGCCAAAGGGTAATTACACAGAGTCAGAGAAGTTTTATCCAGGCTGCGTTCCAAAATATTCTTTGCCTCTCCCCAAATTAAATACCTTGAGGAAGGCTTCATGTGTATGTACAGAAAATAGTACAGGTTGTTGTGAGAAAGAAAATACATTCAGAGCTTTATAAAATCAAATGCCTGTTTGGCACCCAGCACCATGTGAGCTCTGGAAGCTCACAGGTTGCTGCTATTCTACGCTGTCCCTCTGTAGAAGGGACAGGACCTCCTCCTCTGGTGAGAGGAGTCCATCAACTGGTCAGTGGCCTGGGCTCTCGGCTTCCAACTTCATCTGTCACTCTGAAGTGGAGGAATAAATGAGTTCATCCCCCAATCAGGAATTGATCTAACTACAGTCAATCAGGAGAGCTAAGTCCCTGCAGCAGAGGCTCCAGGTGTAGCGTGCCTAGTCAGGGAGGGAAGAACCACCTCCGTGGGAGAATTCAAAGCAGGAAAACATGTCCTGTGATCTAGATGAGCATTTCCGGAGGAACACCTGAGATAGTGAACTGCCAAGCTGCTACAACCCTGCCACCTCCCCATACAAGGACCAATGGAGAGGAGAAGAGCTGCAGACCCGGCCCCTTCGCAGGGGAGCTCACAGGGTGCACATGATGGCATGGCAGATCCAGTTCAGACCCAGGGCTGTGGGCCTTTGTTACTTGGGAGGCAGAGAGAATGACCCCTTGCTTCTGGGAGTCCAGGGCCAGCCTGGGCAACACAGTGAAATGACCCCCATCTCCAAAAAGAAAACAAAGACAAGCCCACGACTGCCGGGGGGAGGGGAGGCCTCAACTGCCAGGGGTGGCCTCGTAAGTCAGGCAGATTCAGACATACAGTTCTGCAAACTCTAGACAGTCTCACCATAAAGCCCCGGATCCAGCTGGTCAACCGGGAAGAACTTCATTCTTGTGGGTAAAAGGGAACACTTAGTAAAGGATGAGGCTTCTGCCTCAGCATACCCATGAGTCTTTGCATCTCTGCCTTATCTGTCCAAATGCTGCAAAGTAAGGGGCAGGTCTGGGCCAGGCATTGCGGTAGAGAATGTACAAACCCTTTACACTATACCCCAGAGCCAGGCTTGGTGGAGTATGCCTGTAATCCCAACACTCAGGAGGCTGAGGCCGGATGATCAGCATAAGACCAGTGTGGGGCTCCTCAGTGAGACGGGGTAGGGGCTGAAACAAAACATTATGTTCTCACTGGGTCTAAGGGGATAAGACTGCAGAAAAACAATGGGAGGGGTGCCTAGCGTGCATGTTGGAGGCACATGAGGAAGGAAGCCTGTTCTTGCCTGTGGGTGACCTGCTCTGAGATTTTCTGGAAGCCTGAAAGCTTGGGAAAGGGTAACACTGCCTGGTTCAAGGTGCACTTTCCTTTCTGTCTTCCAGCTGTCAAATTTGGCCGGATGTCCAAGAAGCAGCGAGACAGCTTATATGCCGAGGTACAAAAGCACCGGATGCAGCAGCAACAACGAGACCACCAGCAGCAGCCTGGGGAGGCTGAGCCGCTGACGCCCACCTACAACATCTCGGCCAATGGGCTGACGGAACTGCATGACGACCTCAGCACCTACATGGACGGCCACACCCCTGAGGGCAGCAAGGCCGACTCTGCAGTCAGCAGCTTCTACCTGGACATCCAGCCCTCCCCGGACCAGTCAGGACTGGACATCAATGGGATCAAGCCTGAACCCATATGTGACTACACACCAGCATCTGGCTTCTTCCCCTACTGCTCCTTTACCAACGGAGAGACTTCCCCAACCGTATCCATGGCAGAACTAGGTAACGGCGGGTGTACATGCTGCCTCTGGCTTGCTCTGGGCCTATCCTGTGAAGTAAAGGGGTACGAGGGACTATCTTCTGATAGGTGGGATTTCCCCTATACCTTTGCTACCGATTTCAGGTGCCAGCCTTGCTGTTTGATTGTTGCTATGGTGTTTGCAGTAAATGCATTGCTCAGGAACTAGAGAGGTTGTATGTGAGCAGCCTGTGTCCCACAGAGCACATAAGCACAAGGGAAGGCCACTCAGACCAGCTATTCACTTAGATTCCAGGTATTGCTTTACGGCTAAGGTCACGCATATACACAAAGTCCACTAACCAAATCTAAGCCATAGGTATATTTTTGTCATTTTAAATTGATTACTAAAGTTTTTACATTTTTAATTGACATATAACAACTATGGATGACAGTGTGACATTTCAATACATGTACATAGGGTGTAATAATCAACTTAGGGCATTTAGCATTGTTACTTGGGACACTTAGCACTGATTTAAAGTGAGCATTCGGAATACCCTTTTCCAGATTTTTCACAGGGGAGTCCACATTATGATTATCTGAGCCACCCTACCATGGAGCAGCATACCCCAGTTCGCTCCTTGCATTCTAACTATACCTTGTGCCTGTTGGCCATTCTCTCCCTGCTCAACCTGACCACTTACAATAAAAATCGGTTTATCAGTTATTTGGGGGGGGGTATTTTTGTTTGTTCGTTTTTAAATTACAATGGACCAATATCTGTGAACCTCAGTAACCAACCGGTACCAGCTGGGGGATGACCCATCTGGCAGACCCCTCAGGTAGCCAAGCTTTGCTGCATTGGTGTGAACTGTACATGCCTGAGATTGACTTAAGTGTGAACTTGACAAAGCTGGTAAGACTGCATACAGGACTCACTTTGCCAAAGCAGCAAACACACACCGCCTTCTTGTTTGCTTCTTGGGAGATGGTGACCCAGAAACACCAACCAATGGCAAAGACAAGGGGCACGTTCCCTTCGTGAGCGTTATGCTCACACCCTCCACTATGTTTAATCAGTTTTTTTAAATGCAGTGCTATTATTAGAACAAAACTTTTGATAAGAGTTTTTACAGTTTGCGAATGATCTGCTGTTCCTGGTCTCTGTACCCGGGGTTATTGCAGCCCTTTGGGCTATTTCAATTAGCTGCTGCCGAGCCCACTGAGCTACAACAAGGACCTGGGGTGGCAGGCAGAGAACCAGCGGGTCTGACTTGAGCACAGAAATCCTCGGTTCACAGCCATAAAGGCCGTGTTCTTTAGATGGTGCCTCAACCTCCGTACCCCATAAAAAACGTCCCTTTTAAGTGAAAATTTATATTTCCAGTCAAAAATCTCCAAATAGAACAACTTGAATGTTCTCTACAGTTTTTACACACGCATCTCTTTATGGATCTAAATTTAAATCCCCAGGAGCTGAGCATGTTAGGGCTGCTCTTTAACCACTGAGCAGCACCAGAGGTGCTCCGCCGCTCTTTTGATTAGCAGAGACACCTCTGAACTAGAAGTCATGCTGAGCAGAGGTAGGTTTCTTTTTTTTTTTTTTTTTTTTTTCTTTCTTTTTTTTCTTTTTTTTTTTTTGTCATTGAATCTTGGTTGGCTGTAGCAAAACTGTAATGAAAATTAAATTTTCAAAAATGAATAAGGGTTTGATTGAAAGCCAACAAGTTCCCCACTCAAAGCGACCTGACTCACCCCAGGCCTGCTGCCGCTCCACCGTGGGGATAGTGAACCTGCCTGTTTGCCTGGCAGATATTCAACCGAAACAGATCCAAAGGACTAAGTCAAAGCATTATCTGTGCATGTGGTATTTTGGCTCAAAGTGCACAAATACCTGAATGGGGCTAAAAATGGCTGAGCTGGTGCCCTCGAGTCTCTGGACAGACAAACCTACCCTGGTCACCTCCCAGTGGGTCTGGGAGTCATGGGTTATAACATTTTCCAGGATGAATTGACTCAAATAGAACCAACCAAACTCAAAACCAAATTAGAATTCTCCCGAGAGGATATTTCCTATCCCATTTGTATGGCAGGGTAGTTCAAAGGGGCTGAACGTGGCATAAAAGTGCTGACTGGCTGACCCCCCTTCAGAGCTACCTCATAGACTGTGTGAGCTTTCCTTCACAGCCTCCATCCTGTGGTCCTTTCTAACAAGAGCTCCCAACCTCCTTGTAGGCTACACGTTGCCATCAGAATTTAAGCAAATGACATTGCACACTAGTCCAGTCCCATCTGTCAAGAATTATACCCACCATATTTTGAGCAGAACAAAATTCCTTGGCTAGGAAATCTTGCCCTTGGCATTCAATTAGTGCCTGAATCATGCATTCCAGGTAACAAACCAAGGTTTGTTTTAGAAAAAGTGCTAAGTGGGTTTGCCAAGGTTTGTTTTAGAAAAAGTGCTAAGTGGGTTTGCTACAGTAACCATTAGCACCTTATCCCAAGAGATGGCTGAAGAAGTAGGTACAGTGAGCCAAGAAGTCAGCTTCTTCAGGCTGTGGTCCCAGCTTTGCTGTTGGTTGCACAACCCACTCTGAGCTACATAGCCTGCAAGCAGAAACTCTCGGCCCTGTGCCTTCACGTGTGTGGAAAGGTTAGCAGAAACTCTGAAGCCAGGTGATGTCTGCATCAGAGCTCTGCCCCTGAGCAACTGTACCACACTGGGAAAGTCACTTAACCATAGGAGCTCGAGTGCCTGGCCAAAGAGGACAGTACTGTAGTACTGTCACCTTCCTCCATCTTCTGAATGTGTGTGTGTGTGTGTGTGCATATATATACACACATATATTCAGAAAAGATGTAAATCCTTTGGGTCTGCACACAGCAAGTGCTACATAAATTTTAACTATTGATGTTATCTATAAAAATGAGGTGATGGCTAGAGTTCTTCCTACCCTGAGGGTCTGAGAGAAAAAATCTTAGCATTCAGGACTTCCCCTGTGAGGGGTTTAAACATTGTAACACACACAGCTCAATACCAGTTAAAAAGGGAGATTTTCTTGCCATTTTGTTTTGAAGTAGGTTTACCACTTTGCATTGGGCTGCATCCATAGCCATCCATAGCCACGTGCTGCCCAAGGGCAGTGGGTGGAGCACACTGGGCACCCTGACAGTGTTGCAATAGTTCCCTTGTGTCACACAGCAAGGAAAATAACTCACCTGATGAATTCGCCCAGAAAGTTTGTCTCCTAACGCCAAGGCTAAACAGACCTCACTGTCCCCTACCTGGTCTTAGACGCACACTGACTTCTTAGATTTTATGCTATCTTGTTAAACTCTCCTTTGCTGAAAGGGACATTTAGAAATTGTGAAGGGTCTTTAAAATATTAGCCTTGTCAGATCTGTTATGAGCTGGCATCAGAAACCCTGCCTGAACGGTTGGTCAGAATATAGCTGCTGCCCCCTGCTGGCCCACAGTGTGCACTGCATTAGTCCTTATCTCTTTCTATTGGGTGTTGTGAGAGTCCCACCTAAGTCCAGGTGTCCATGAACCATTTTGCAAATGCTGGGGATCAAACATAGGGCTGTGAGCTTGACAGGCAAGCACTCTGCCTCTGAGCTATGTCCTCAGCCCTGGATAAAATTTGAGACAGGGCTTCATTCCATACTCCTGAACTCACTACATGGCCTGAACTCAATGGCAATCTTCCTGTCTCAGCCTCCCAAGTGCTGGGATTACAGGCATGTGGCACCATGCCTGGTTCCCAGGAACATTGGTTAAGATCACCTGAACAAAGTGTTGACCACAATAACTGGAAAGACATAAGGGAAAGTGGGGTGTAAGCCCTGTAGGACCTCCTAAACCTCATTTTTAAAAATACGCTAATCTTGATTTATAGTCTAGACACTGTCCTCCATGGCAAGGGCTTTCTATCTGAGCATTAATTTTCTGCTTTCCAACACCCATTCTTTTTATCTTAATGAGCTGGCTTCTCCTCGGGTCTGTCTCCTTGAAGTGCTTTCTTTTGTTTACATTTGATCTCCCCCCCCCCCCCCCCCCCCCGTCCCACTCTACTGCTTATCCAGGCTGCTCTGGTACCTGTGTGTTGCCAGACAGGGCTGTTAGGGTTTATTATGTCTATGTCTCCAAGGAGACTCTGGTTTCAGATTGCGTTTGGGTGAACTTGCTGTTTTCACACAAACAAGTCTCCTTCTGTCTGAAGACTACCGTAGAATGTTTATAAGCACGCAGGCTCTGTCGCCATTGTCGCCAGCCTTGCATTCTTTGTCATTCTCAGTGGCTTACCTGCCCTGGACTCAAGATCCTAGAAATATGATTATTTTTCAGTATTTGACATTCATAAACTCCTGTCAAATCTTTCAAATCTTTCCAATACATTTTTTAGGCAGGGCCTTGCTGTGTAGTCATGCTAGCCTCGAACCTTCTATGTAGAACAGGCTAACCCCAAATACATGGCCATACTCCTGCCTCCACCCCAAAATTCAAGTTGCAGACCTGTACTATCATAGCCAGTTTTTTAAATGTTTGAGCCATCCTTTGTTCCCTAACATTGGTTACTATCCTGCTTCACACACAATCTCTCCTGTCTAGATTTTAGCAGCTGTCTACCTGGTCCTCCTGCTCCATCCTTTCTAGGCCCCAAGATACAAAGCACCATACACGGCATAACAACTACCAGCACTATGTGATGCTCCCTGTTCTAATTGTGATTCTTTCCATTCTCACTACAGCCCTATAAACAAGTCCTATTTTCCTCATTTTACCAAGGAGGAAAGCGAAGTACAGGGAGGCTAAATAACTTGCCAAGACCATACGTCTCAGAAGTAGCAAGGCAAAAATGTGGGCCCAGACAGTCTCAACCCAGGGTCTCTCTTTTCACCAAAGTAATACATAATCTGTTTGTGCCTCAGCAATGCTTGTCCCGATGTTTGCTAGGAGATCAAAGGTAATGGCCAGTTGTCACCATTAAAGCTGGAGAGATGTTTCAGTCAATAAAGTGCTTGCCATTTCAGCATGAAGACCCAAGTTTGACCACTGGGCATGGTGTAAGCACAGCACTAGGGAGGAAGAGAGTGAGGATAGAAACTGAGGAAGACACTCAAAACATGTACACACATGCAAAAATAAAAGTTTAACATATAAACTCTCACACACACACACCAACATGCACACATTTACATAATATCCTGGCTTTTCAAGAGCCACTTTTGTCAGGCTAGCAAAAAAGTCAAGAAGCAGCTGTCAATCATTTTCCTACCTACCTAAGGCAATCAATCTACGTTCATCTCCAGACACTGGTAGAAAGCTTATGGCAAGGTCAAGGTCATCAAGGTCTCTGAGTCCAATATGCTTCACGCAGTCAATATTGGTTTTGCAAAGCTTCCCTCTTCCGTCCTGCCGTGCCCCGATACAGAAGAGCTCCAGCATGCTTGCTTAGCTACGCAAAGAAAACCAAAACTTGTTAGCACACTGCTTTACAGGAGTTACTTTTCAAGGTAAATGACAAGAGCAGAAGAGTTGCTGGTTCCTGTTCATGGTTGTGACCTCCCATTTTCTCCCCAGAACACCTTGCGCAGAACATATCCAAATCCCACTTGGAAACCTGCCAATACTTGCGGGAAGAACTCCAGCAGATAACATGGCAGACCTTCCTGCAGGAGGAGATTGAGAACTATCAGAACAAGGTAGAGTTGGAGGAGTTTCTCTTCCAGTTGAGGCAACATTAAGAAGGGGGTTGCGTGCACACACACACACACACACTTTTTTTTAAATAAAAATTATTTTAAAAGGAGAATAATGTGGTTTTGGAAGGTCTGGCTGTAATTGTTCAGGACTGAAGATAAGCCTGGCAGGTGGTGACCCTACTTGCTTTTATCTCAATGACACTGACCAATGGGCCACTAAAGCGGGAGGTGATGGTAATTATCCACTGCCTTTGGGAACAGATGTGGTGGCTTTTGCCAATGATGGTAGGAAGTCAGGCTGGGAAAGGACTATGCAGACATTAGAAGTATATCCTCCCCTTCACTGGTACTGAGGAGAAAACCATCATACCTTGGCTATGGCTGCACACTGAGAGAGAACATCAGGACTATGTCCCCGGGTGACTCAACTCCAGGGTTTGTTCCCCATTGTACTGTTAGAAACAACCTTAAACCATGGGGTGTAGTGGGAGAGCAGATGAACAAAGCAAAAGCCCCAGGACACTATGATGAGTGGGAGGGCGGGAAGAGCAGCAGCTCACTTTGTCTGCCTGTGAGTACAAAGTCACCCCCAACGCCCAAGCCTCAAAGGAGAGCCAGCAATGCATTGAGAGCCAGCAAGCCTTGGGAAGAAGGGCTTCTGCCTCAACTCCACTTATACTTACTGGCTGGGAAGCCTCAAGAGTTTAGATGTCATTTCTGAATAGAAGACAATTTGCATAAACATATGAAACAAGGATGTCATCAAACGCCTAGCTTAGCAGGTACAGACAAAATAAAATGTACTTGACACCCTTTTCCTTCCCTCCACCCCCAGGAAAGTATGGGTAAACTCCCTAAAATAAATGAACTGTTTTTAAAAACAGATCCTCCACTTACTGTGGAGCCTACAGTTATTGCAGAGATATACACCACTCTCCTGACTTGTGTGTAGCTGTTGGCCCCATATGTTCATAATACCCCTCACTTTCACCCCCCACCCCCACTTCACCACCCCCATTCCATTGCCTTCAAACAGTAAACTAGGAATCTCGGGAGGCAGAAAGGATGTGGAAGCAGGCTTTCATAACCTAAATAACAGAGACTATTTTTTTTTTAAGCCTATAATCTTTTTTAACCCATTTCCAAAGAAAGCTTTTTACAAACTAGGAAGCCTGAAGCTAGCTGCACTAGGGTTCCCAGCTAGTCTTATGTTAATGCGTCTCCCTCTTTCACAGCAGAGAGAGGTGATGTGGCAATTGTGTGCCATCAAGATTACAGAAGCTATCCAGTATGTGGTGGAGTTTGCCAAACGCATTGATGGATTTATGGAGCTGTGTCAAAATGATCAAATTGTGCTTCTAAAAGCAGGTATGTGCTTTGCAAGTGAATCCTGATGTCGCTTCCAGCTGTTTTCACCTGCTTGTTAAAGAAATGCTTGCTAAGGAAGGTGTTGAAGCTGTCTTTTCTTAGTGATAATAGCTCAGGGTTTGCTTGGCAGAAACTGAACCCTTTTTATAAAAACATTTTAAAGGTATGTTCAGCGGGGCTGGAGAGATGGCTCAGTGGTTAAGAGCACTGGCTGCTCTTGCAGAGGTCCTAGGTTCAATTCCCAGCACCCACATGGAGGCTCACCACCATCCATAATATAGTTCTAAGGAATCCAGTATCTTCTGACCGCCACAGACCAGGCATGTACATGGTGCACACATATCCATGGAGGCAAAACGCCCATACATATCAAGTTATTTGTGTATGCTGTGTGTGTGTGTGTGTGTGGTGTGTGTGTGTGTGTGTGTGTGCATGCGTGCATACACATATTTTTAAAAACATGTTCAGGAAGCATTCCCTCCATTTTCCTATTCCTTCGGGAGGATGGTTACACTGGGGAATATTTGCATGCCAAATCTTACCATCACTCTCAGACTCTAATGCCGAGCTGTTGGGAAGATGTTTATGAGTTCAAAGAGTCATTCCTAGGCTGATTGTTTAAATAAATGTGAGTAATGTTTCCCTAGCTACTTTAAAACTTTACACTGAGATATGAGCCAGTCTTCATTTCTTCTGCCCCTTGGACAGAGGACTGGTGTAACTGATTCACACGAGCTGCCCTGCACTCAGCCACTGTGCCATCTCAGGAAGGCCTCTGTGTTAGCACCTCAGAAAGGAACTAAGATCGATAAAAGGATGCTAAGCAATTCTTCCTCATGCAGGCTCTCTGGAGGTGGTATTTATCAGGATGTGCCGTGCCTTTGATTCTCAGAACAACACCGTGTACTTTGATGGGAAGTACGCCAGCCCTGACGTCTTCAAATCCTTAGGTAAGGAGATCTCATGTTGTTGTCCCTGGAAATGGGGGTCATGTTCAAGGATGTGGCTCTGAATGGAAGCTCTTGTTCCACAAAATGAACAAACCCGAATTAAAGAATGATACACCTAATCTTACTACATGTAGCTATTTGCTATAAAACAGTCCTCATGCAGCAAGTACCTTTGTCTGCATATGTAAACTCGAGTTCATTTGTAGGTTAGTCATTGGGTGAGTTATTACATGACTTTTCTGTTTCCCTTCCAAGTTCAAATGAGTAAGATTTTTCAATGAATAAAATGTTCAAACAATGGAAAGAATATAACTCATATGTGAAATGAAGCAAAAACGGAAGAGCTCACCATCCCTGGCCTCTCATACTGTAACCATGGAAAAGTCCAGTAGAGCCAAAGAAAACAATGCACTATATGCATTATAAAATGAGTCTTTTTGAGTTCTATAATTTAAATAATCAGATTGTTGCCATTAAGGAGAAACAAAGGGAACCCAGGATACGTCGAATGGCTTATTTTAACCATGGGTGACAGGAGGCTTATCTAAGTACAGCACAGACCACTGCCACTTACAAATGGTAACCAAGTGGCAAACCTGAAACAGAAACAAAATTTAACACACCATAGGTGAGTTGAATTGTTATTTTAGTGGACTTTCACATTGTCTTCAATTTGATGAATCTGTACAATAACTACACTACCAGCATGCAACTATCATAGCCAATAAGGCATTGCAGTTAGTCAGTAGCCATTAGACCCTGTTCATTCAAAATGAGGGTTCTGAATGTCAGAATGTCTGAATGGCTTTGAATGTCAGGTTGTGACCACGGGTCAAGTCCCTGTTTCCTGAGCCCTAAAATGGGAACACTAATGATAACATGCCTCTCACAGGACTGTTTTCAAACCTGAGGAAACATTAAGAAGGGTGTTCGAGTAGTTATCTGCCTAGGAATCACAGGACAGATGTTCTCTCTCCTTGCTGTAGATGATGATGACAGGGTGTGGGGGGTCCTTATGTGAAGCAGATGGTGGTGGCTAGGATACTACTACTCATGGTGGTAAGGATGATGACAGTGGTGAGAATGCTTTGTGATGATGGTGACAACGCTAATGGTACCAGGAGATGGTACTCGTAATGGTGATGTTGGCTAATACTTCAAACGACTCAACTAAGAAATGTTCTTACTGTCCCATTTCATCTCCAGTGTCCACATCTCTCTTCACCTTGCTCTATACTCCTCTCCTAGGATAACTACTGACACCCTAAACTTCCTTTATTTTAATCATAGGTTGCGAAGACTTCATTAGCTTTGTATTTGAATTTGGGAAGAGTTTGTGTTCTATGCACCTGACTGAAGACGAAATTGCATTATTTTCTGCATTTGTACTGATGTCAGCAGGTAAGAAAACCAAACAGAATACAAGTCTCTGATATGTCCAGGTAAAGAATGTTTTCACCAAGGCACAGGACTTTTACATGTTATCCAATGTTTGAGGAGCTCCCAAGAGCAACTGCCACCCTTATGTAATTTGAAGTTTCTCAAAGAATACCCTCTCTGAACAAACACAGCTCTTTCCTAAAGACTTTATGGGGCTGAAGAGATGGCTCAGTAGCTAAGAGCACTTGCTATACAAGTGTGAGGACCTGAGTTCAGATCTCAGGACTCACATTTTAAAAAAAAAAATGTTGGGCACAGTCACACATGAATAAGAGTATTCTCAGCGCTAGGAAAGTAGCTGGAGGACTGGTGGCATTTGCTAGCTGCCAGGCTAGCTCCAAGTTCTATCACAAGGGAATAGAGTGGAAAGTAATAGAATAAGACACCTAATGTCTTCCTCTGACGTCTACAAACATGTATGTACACATGTATTCCTTTCTCAGGCACACAGAAGGGAAGGAGGGAGAGAGAGAGACCTCATGATATGCAGATAAAAACTGTATGAAGTAATAGCTTAATAAAACATTAACCAGTGCTAACTCCACATACCAAGACAAAGGATTTCATAGAATAGGGTTTCTCTTCTTGATGCCAGCCTCGAAGACAGCATGCCTTTGTAAACACTGCCATCCACAGTCTGTCTGCCTCCAACCCTTTCCCAGTAGGTCTGCCTCTTGGGGAACAATCCTCTACTTAGAATTCTCACACAAAGGATGTTCCTTGATTAACAACCCTTTAGTCATTTGAAATTGTATTGACAGTTTGAGTTACCCTGGATTAAAAAACAATTTTACATTTCCAGGAAGGCCAGTGGGGCAGGTGGGACAGTGCCTGAGAAAGAATTATCAGAAAAGCTTGGGGAGGGTAGGGAACTGTGTGTTCATGTGCATGCTTTTGAGTTTGGCCCTAATGTATAGTAAGAACTCCCTCCCTCCCTCCTTCCCTCCCTTCCTCTCTCCCTCCCTCCCAAGACAGTGGGAAAATTTAACACCCTGGCATATATATATATAGATATAGATATAGATATGTATATATATATACATATATATATATATGTATATATCAGAGAGTATCTCTGCATCCTGCAGAAGCAAAGCTGCCAAAAGGAAACTGGCCTGCGGGTCTATAAACACACATTAGAGCACAGTAACCAATGCTGTAGTCAGGGGCAACAAAGGTCTGATGCTGTGTTGAAAGAATGGCACTAAGTTTCAGCTTTTCACATTTAGATCGCTCCTGGCTGCAGGAAAAGGTAAAAATTGAAAAACTGCAACAGAAAATCCAGCTAGCCCTTCAACATGTCTTACAGAAGAACCACCGAGAAGATGGAATTCTGACGAAGGTAAGGTCCAGAGGAGTCCATCTGACCCTGCCTGAACTATCTTTTGACACAAAACTTGCTTAAGGGTATCTAAAAGTCACATGGTCAGTCCCAGAAAGTATCAGCATGGCATGGGACACTCACTCAGGAAGTTCTGTTGGGCCAAAACTCATGACTTGGGCTAAATTCTATATATTATAATTGATCACAGAGTCTATAGCTATCTAGGAAAGCATAACAGAGTCTATAGCTATCTAGGAAAGCATCACTTATCGGGTGTTAATTTTGGGTATATGGTGGAAGGGAGGATGTGCGTGCAAGTGCTCACAGAGACCAGAAGAGGGCGTCAGATCCTCTGGAACTGAAGTTAGAGGCAGTTGTGACATAGCAAACTTGTGCACTGGGAACTGAATTCTGGTTCTCAGACAGCAGTATGTGCTCTTAATCACTTAGCTCTCTCTCCACCCCCAGGAAGACTTCCCCCTCCCCTTAAAGAATGAGCCCTTTCAGGAACCTCTTCCTGTTCTTTAAACTTAAGCATAAAGCAGGGTCAACATGCTGCCCTGATGTAAAGCAGAAGGAACTTTGAATTTAGAAGAAGGAAGCAGAAAGGGACTAAAAGAAGATAAATTATATTCTACTATCCATCCTCTTAAATTCATTAGTTATCAGCAATAAGTCATTTTTGTGTTTATCACTTTCCTATTCTGTGCTGCATTTAAAGCACGAGGCTTCATTTTGCTAATTACCTTATACAGCTAAAACATATGATAAAATCTCTCAGTGCTGTTGCTTCTGGTGTTAGAAAAGCATCCATTCCCATCCTCTGCTCAGTTGCTATGTTGTATTATACAAGAAGGTGGTGTGAAACGTTTGGTTTCCTTCCTGATTTCCTCTCTTGTTTTCCTGATAGCTTGGGGAGGTCAGAATGTTGAAATTGATTTTGATGTCGTACATGGTCAGTGAGCAAGAGGGAGAGGGGAGATCCCAACTGCTCAAGGATGAGGCCACCATGAATGAGGGTTGTTATCATAGAGGCCCTGACCCAGACAGGATCTGGTAAAACCGTTTCCTATCGACAGTGACTCTGATCTGCAACCATGAGACACCTTGCCTTTGTGAAGTGCAGTAGGGTTTACAAGCATCTCTACAAGCCACTGCTGTTACCTTCATTTGCTAGACTTTCATTCGATGAGACCCTGAGCCACTTTAGTATGGAAAAATCTCTTTAGAAGAAAATAGCCCATAGCATTTGCTCAAGACACTAGCCAGATGATCTGAGTTTGACCCCCCAGAACCCACGTGGTGGAAGGAGAGAACTGACTCCAAGAAGTTGCCAATCTACACACATAGCATATATACGTACTTGTCATTTTAAAAACAAACAATTGACTCACACTTATCCTGCATATGAAGGATGATAGGTACTCCTCTCTCTAGCCTCATCTGGGCTCTAACTATATGGGCGGTCGGGTCAAATTTGCTTATGAATTCCTCCTTGAGTTAAGTTATTCATATTCAAAATGCATTTGGTGTATCCCAAGCATTCTAACACAGGACGTCTCTCCCTGCCCCATCACTGGAGGCTTAAGCAGCAGCAAATATGTCTTCACCATGATGAGCAATATTGTGGAGGTCACCCTGAGTCCTCGATTTTCACTCTTATGACTGCCCTCCCCTGACATCCTGTCCTTTCTCCTGCTTACAGCTAATATGCAAGGTGTCTACGTTAAGAGCCTTATGTGGACGACATACAGAAAAGCTAATGGCATTTAAAGCAATATACCCAGACATTGTGCGACTCCATTTTCCTCCATTATACAAGGAATTGTTCACTTCAGAATTTGAGCCAGCAATGCAAATCGATGGGTAAATGTAGTACCCGAGCACTTCTAGAACATCTGAAGTACAAACATGAAAAACAAAAAACAAAAAACAAAAAAAAAAAGGAAATAAAACAATGACAACGAAGACAAAATTAACTGAGACACTTTCTATGGCCCTGCACAGCCCTGGAGCGCCAACACACTGCACAGACATCTTGTGGTGATCGGGGTTCAGGCACAGAGGGGAAACAATGAGAACCAATAAAAGCTAAACTTGTTTTGCTCATGCATATGATTTCCACTATGCCTACAGATATGGACCCTTTTCTGTCTCGACTTCTAGAGCGGTCGACCTCTGCATATAACAGGAGGAGGGTACTACAGTCAGAGGAGTCCCTTTTCTTATAGCTCACTGCCCACAGACTCTTACGGGTAACAACAAGAGTCCAGCAGTAATCGGTGACCCCGGTATGCATAGCGGGGGTTGCGGCGTTACTTTGCACAGCTTGCTTTTCTGTGTCATGAAGGAAGATTTTGTTTCTCTCACCGATTATTGCCGGTCATCGGGATGGCGTGAAAAGGGGATCCATAGCGCTCGCAACAATAGCATTATAATATATTACACAGGGTAAATGGGCATGAAGACTATATATAGCTAAAGAGATATTGTTTATATATTGTTTTAATTAATATAAAATGTAGTGACTGGTGTAGCTTTTCCTGTTGAATTGATAAGGCACTTTTCCGTTTTGCACCTTTTGTTTTCTTTAAATTAAATGCTAGCGTGTTCACTGTCGCCGTGTCGCATGTACACCAGAAACACAAGTTTAGCTGAGAAGGTTTGGAAGGTACGTCAGGAGGTATTTATGCTGCTGTTTACAAAAAAACAAAACAATTAGTTCTAAAAGACTGGCTGGTCATATCCAGAAATCAACATGTTGAATTTCTGTTCCCATCTGTAAATTTGGAATTAACTGACTGTTCCCTAAATCATACTTTGTTTTGCATGCAATTAAGAATGGGTGTGTTTATGCTTCATACAGAGTCGAAGGAGTATCTGGTGCTGTGGGTTTAAACCATATGTGCTTTTTTTTTTTTTTTAAGTTTTTAAAATGCCACCTTTGGGAAGTGAAGGAGAGACTCTCATTTGACACAATTCAGTAGTCAAAGGGACACTGTATCAACTTGGAATTCTGATGCTTAGAACATATTAGTAACCAGAATGTTGTTTGGAATTATGTAGAAGCACCCAAAGACTCTATGTGGAGCAAACACACTCCCCACATTTATTGAATGTCTTATGTTCTTGGCATCAGGAGCCCTAAGAATTCATCTCAGAGAAAACTGATCCTAGACTAGCTACCCCAGATTCTAGAAATGCTGCTGCTCTCCATGTTGGGTAGACAGTGGATGAAGAGGGAGGCAGTGTTGAATCTGGTTCCCGTATTTAAAATAAGCCTTCAGAGTGGAGGTGATGCCAGCTGCAGACATTTTCTTGTGTATTTATCTTCACTAGAAAACTGTGGACTGTAATTTATTTTTTTAAAATATTTAGAAGATAGTTTGGCTTTTGTGTTCAGGTAAGAAATATTGAGGTATTCTTGATTAAATTTACATTTAAAGATAATCCCCAGTGGGCAGAGGAAGGAATATTCTCATGTTCACAGGTGTGCATGCTTTAAAAGCAAATGCCCTGAGACGAGAGAGATGGCTCAGTGGTCAAGAGCGATTATTGCTCTATCAGAGGACCAAAGTCTGGAACCCAGCAATCATATTAGGTAACTCAAAAGAGTCTAACTTCAGCTCCAGGATATCAGGTTCTTATTGGCTGGTGTGGGTGTGAGTATACACACACACACACAGAGAGATATAAAAAAATAAAATCAATAAGTCCTTTAAAGCAAGTGCCCTTTTGAGAAATTAGGAGGCTTTTGGAAAATGACTTTGGTCACAAGACACTGTTCTGGCCTCAAAGAACATATCTGTAAGGAAAAGAAAGGCAACATCTTCCATGGTACAAGGTGGGTGCCTCTACGAAACCCTATACATCCAATGGCTTCCTCTGCCACTAGGGTTCTTCTAGAATTTCTTTGCCAGCATTTTCTGTTCCTGCTGATGTCCATATGCTGGGTTTTTATACCAGGGCTAGCTTCCCAGAGCACTTCACAATTTTTAACTTCATTGACTTTCTGCCTTATTTACTGAGGGACTTGGAAAGTAGGAAGGAAACATTTGTACAGAAATGTATGGGTGAAGCCTAAATGACATCTGACTTTTTTTTTCCCAGAAACATAGTAAGGGTTAACCATAAACAGGAGAGCGATATTTACTTAAATTTCTTACAAGCATAGAAAATTTTATGTGTTTATATAGAGAGGTTAGCTGTCAGCATATAGTATTTATATTGGGCAAGAAGGGGTAAATCAAAATTTTATTTAAGCATAGTTCCTTTAAAGATTAATAGTATTTATATTCTGCAAAGAGTACAGTTTTGTTATTTATTTGCCCTTTTTTTTTTTTTTTTTTTTTTTTTTTTTTTGTTTGTTTGTTTGTTTCTCCTGTGTGAGGGAATGGTGTGAGGTTTGGGTTTGGTTTTCGTTTTTCCTTTCTTGTTTCGTTCAGATTCACTAAATTTGGGGATGGTTTTAGTAAAGTATATTAACTTCTTTTTAACCAAAGCTTTCTGCATGTGACCAGCCTCAGGTGCTAGCGCACTAAAGAACAACTAAACCGAATTCCAGTGTCCACACATGCGAATAAGGCGAGCTGATTGAACTTTTTTCTAAGGGCGAGAAGAGAAGGTGACCTTGAACTTCAGAGAAATTCATTTTCCTAGAAAGGATTCTGCAAGTACCTAATGCAAAACAAACACAAGATACTCCAGTGTCGGTACCATGCCATGGTGACACTGCTTTCACAATACAGCAGGGGAGAGTGGTGTGATGCTGTTTCCAGGTGTTCCTGAAAGGAAATGCAGGAAGTAGGCTTTCAGAGCAAAATCCTCCCATCGGATCGTGGGGGCGGAGATGGACTTGCTCTGAGAAATGGAGGGGACAACTGACCATGATTTGCACCTAGCTTGAGAGTCATAGGGAGTCCAGAACAGGATGTAAAACCTTTGGCATTTTCCTTTTCTTCCTTATTGTGAGAACCACTCGTGTAGTGTCACGAGGTGGTCAATGATACAGAATCATGAAGCTTAATAGTTTATTACATTAAAGTTGCCTGAACTTAAAGCCTCGACAGTCTCCCAGGGACTGAACAGTATTGTATGCTCAGCTGCTAGAACGCTGTCAGATAACTTTTTTATTTTTTTTTTTAACAGAAGGTAAATGAGGCTTTTGTATAAAATCTGAATGTTGTTACTATGATACTCAAATGATCTAGCAACATCAGGAGAAACTGGCCTTGGCCACCTGGAAATCCAAAGTGCAGTTGAAAGCACTCTGTGAACAGATCACAAAATGTGCTAAGGCTTTGGATTTTTTTTTTTTTTTTTTTTAAGCATTCTAATTTGTGTTAAATCCATGGATTTTTTTTTCCCCCAAAGTCTTTCACATCCTGATTCACCCTTCCTAACTTAAGGAAAACATGACCTAAGACACTGCTTCTAAGTTTGGTTGTTCTTTAGCAAGTGGATACCAGATCTCTGTGAGTGGATGGGGGTGGGCTGAGGGTCAGGGGAGGAAAGAGTGTGTTTGCCTGTGTGTGTATGGCTTTCATGTGTATGATATGCGTGTGTTAGACCGCTTCTAGGCTACTAAGTGTCAATGGAAAAGAAAATGTATTCAAACTACATAAATCAAAACTAGAAGATGGAAAAAAAAGATTTATTCTATACAAAGCCTTGTCTGGACCACTCTAGAGAGACTTCTATTTTTTTAACCCTTCTATAAATATTTGATGGCACTAGAAATATTCCTGCAATAAAATGTGATTTGTGTAAAGAAAAAAAAAGATTTTGTAATGTGAAACAAAGAAAGAAAGTAATGTAATTTTCTAAAAAAAAAAATACAAACAAACAAACTTTGTATTATTTTCTTGATGGAATTTGCCTATCTGTCTTTGGAAAACTTTTTATTTCATTGAATGTGCCATAGTAGATGTACGTGTTTTTAGTTTTAGACTAAGGGATGGCTGTTTGTGTTCCGACATTCCAAAATGCAAAGCAACTTAGAAGAAGCCTTGATGAGAAGGTTTCAGTAGGATGCAAGCGTCTCTCCTTGTTGCTTTTTTGCACACGTCTTTAATTCCTACCTAGTGCAATATCTGTACATAGAGCACTTGCGGGTGTACTTTGATCCCTCAGGGAAAAACACATATTTGTACAGTTGTTTGGTTTGTTTTGGTTTTTTGTTTGTTTTGGGGTTTATTTTCCTTTTTGTTTTTTGGCTAAGGAATGTCGATCGAATCACTTGTTATTGTTGAGAGGCAGCCAGATAATCAGCCCAAAACCACTGTTTCAAACACCAATTGTTTGAGTCATGTCTTTCCAATACTATTATTTTCAAATAACAATCAGTAGTAGTAGTAATAATAATAAAAAGCTATTTTCTGACAGTTCTTTGTGCTGACTGGTGGAAAAAGAAAGGGGAAAAATGCACCTTATGATTGACTTACTGTGAATGACAATCCATCTTGGTGTCAAGGACAGAGCCCTGTTGTCTGGAGTTGGGGCTGAGAGTCAGAAACACTGTGCTCAGGGATCTTCTAAAACTCTTAAACAGGGTGGCCAGTGGACTGGGACAAATTGTGTTCTTACTATTAAAAAGAATGATGATAATTCTATCCCTCCAAGGCACAAGTGAACTGTAGAGAAGTGTGTGTATGTGTGTCTGTCTATGTGAACTCTTCACTGTCTCATTTTTGTTGAGTTCAAAATTCCTGTGTTTCAAAATACTTTGTAACTCCTGAGGCAGTGTGAAGTTCTGCCAGTGTGTATGAAAGATGAATTCAGAAGCGATAGGCCAATCAAGGAGCAAACTGCAGCCCATTTGCTGTTTCCCTAATAATTAAAAAAAAACATCATGTGGGAAACAATTTTAAAGTTTAAAGTTTCACATTCTTTTTTGTTTTTGTCTAGACAGGGTTTCTCTTTGTAGCTTTGGAGCCTGTCCTGAAACTTGCTCTGTAGACCAGGCTGGCCTCAAACTCACAGAGATCCACCTGCCTCTTCCTCCTAGTACTAGGATTAAAGGTATGCACTACCACTGCTTTGCTACAGTTTCAAATTCATTTTTTAAACCAGCAGAAAAAATTCTCAGTGAAATGGGCAGCAACAGAGAGTCTCAGAGTCTCTCAGAGCTAGAAAACAAGTTCTGTTTTGTTTTGTTTACTGTATTCTCCTCCAGGAGCAAACCAAACTCCTGTTATACAAAACGATTAATTACTATCCCACATCTCTAGCTTTTTTTTTGGGGGGGGGGGTTGTGGGGTTGTTTGTTTTCTTGCAAGAGCTGACATTTAAAGACAGATGTGTCCCTTCACAATAGACCACATTGCCCTCCAGTTCTGAACAGTAGTTCTATTTTCATTCCCATATACCATTTCCCATAAAAATCAGCTCAGGGTAGCTAATGATTCTGAGTCTCTTGCCCCTAACACATGCTTGGCAGAGTTACATAGCTTCTTACTGCTATAAGAGAACTTGGTATGGGAAATCTGTCCCTGTCTATCAGGTGACAAAACCACCTCACACCTTGAGTGTAGAAGGAGACAGAGCTCTCCCTCCCCTCCTTTTCTCTCTCCATCCATATATACATGTGCATATATGTGATAGACATTTTAAACACCCTCACAGGGCCACCTCTTACTCATAAGGTTGTGCTGCAGAACCCCACAAGGGCAGCCTTGTACTGTGGATCAGTTATGTGCCCAGAAATGCAGCTACAA